GATCTGATTTTCGAGTTCAACCTCCTTTCTAACAAGAAACCAGATCCACACGTTAAAAGGTTAGACGTTGACAAGGTTGTTATTAATCTGAGTAATAGCCCAATGTGCGATGGTCTAAAGTCGGTTTTGGCTAAAGGGTTGAACTTCTCAGTCACCCCCAAACACATTCCAGTGGATGACGTTATTGCCCAGGTCGATGTCGCTCTTAAGGGTTTGGGGCGCATCGCTGCAGACGTTCAAGATCTGAAATTGCTGCAACCCTCAAAAGCGCTAAGATACCAGTTAGCAACATCAGTGAGGATGAACGTTTTTGTGGTTTTTGATTATTTGTATTCACTTTATTTTTCTATCTACGTGACTTTGCCGAAAGAACCAAAGAATATTTACAAAAAAATGTATTTTGTGTGTGTGTAATTTGTTTACCTTTTCTATACTTTGCACTCCTATCGTGTTTACTGTATTGCTTGGAGTTATTGTAGCAGCCAAATAATATAAATGAACGTAGTAGCGGTACACCGTTGCGCTGTATGAAATAATCATCACATTTTTGGCAAAAGTTATTTATTTCCTCGCGATTCGAGACCCCAGACAGAAGGATATTTTGGGGTGGTGGTGGTGCGTCAAAATCAGTTGTCGTGATGCCAAAGCGGTGGGAAGACGGAACGTGACATGAGCAGCACTGAACACGAAGCTTCGCAGTCTGTTGCCGTACAGCGGCGCCCAGTCTGATGACGATCGGCTGCTCCGTGCTCCAGTGGCAAGATTGGACTCCTCGTGCCCCTAGAGACTCGGTCGGACGGTGCCTCGATACGACTCGTGGTGTCGCCACCGCACGTTCGGAATGGGGGACGCGGCTGCTGAATCTGAGTGCAACTTCTGATGGAGAGTCCTGCAGCTCACTCAAGGGGCAACGGCGACATCGTCGGGACTATGAAAAATAAGAATCGGTTTTACTCTTTATGGGAATGAAACAGGAGGTGTTAAGATGTTCAAACACCAGATAGATTATAGCTTTTGCAAGGAATCAGGTTACTGCATTAACCACGCGTACTGAACACGCAAACAAACACTCTCTGATAACATTTAATCATTGTCTTTGATACTGATTGGTCTACCCCAGAGACAGCCTTCTTCATGGCCTAGTCTCACCAGTGTCAGACCAGAGAACAACACCAAAAGGCGACCAGTACAAAGACAATGCAGTGTCAAGAGCATTTATAGCTCGGGGTGAGTAGCTATATCATTGGACCTTTTTGCCAGAATCAAAGTATAAAAAATAGGAATCGGTTTTACCCTTTCTGGCAATAAAACAGGAGCTGTTAAGATGTTCACACACCAAATAGATGATTCCTTTTTGCAAGGAATCAAGTTACTGCATTAACCACGCGTACTTGTGTTGAACACGCAAACAAACACGCTCTGATAGTAATCACATCGTCAGGACTGTGTTACGAGGACCCGGTGTGTTGCTATGCTGCACGGGTGTACTGCCAATACGTACAAATAACAATGACCGACTGCCTCCTTGCGCAGGGATGAACCCGGCCCAGCCCGAGTTCATGCGCGCACGCGGCAAGCGCAGGGCGAGGGGGAATAGAGCGGAGTGCGGGCGGTCGAGCGACTCCGACGAGGAGTGGACGGGGAGGAGGAAGAGGAAGGAGGTGGCGATGCACGGAGGACGAAGAGGCAAACGTAAAAGGGCGCTTGCAGACCGTGCAGAGACCCCCTGTAGACTCACACAGAGACCCCCTGTAGACTCACACAGAGACCCCTGTAGACTCACACAGAGGCCCCCTGTATACTCACGCAGAAACCCCCTGAAGACTCACAAAGAGACCCTGTGTAGAATCACACAGAGACCCCTGTAGACTCACACAGAGACCCCTGTAGACTCACACAGAGACCCCCTCTCGACTCACGCAGAGACCCCCTGTAGACTCACACAGAGACCCCCTGTAGACTCACGCAGAGACCCCCTGTAGACTCACGCAGAGACCCCCTGTAGACTCACGCAGAGACCCCTATAGACTCACACAGATACCCCCTGTAGACTAACACAGAGACCCCCTGTAGACTCACACAGAGACCCTCTGTAGACTCACGCAGAGACCCCCTGTAGACTCACGCAGAGACCCCCTGTAGACTCACACAGAGACCCCCTGTAGACTCCCACAGAGACCCCCTGTAGACTCACGCAGAGACCCCCTGTAGACTCACACAGAGACCCCCTGTAGACTCACACAGAGACCCCTGTAGACTCACACAGAAACCCCCTGTAGACTCACACAGAGACCCCCTGTAGACTCACGCAGAGACCCCTGTAGACTCACACAGAAACCCCCTGTAGACTCACGCAGAGACCCCCTGTAGACTCACACAGAGACCCCTGTAGACTCACGCAGAGACCCCTGTAGACTCACACAGAGACCCCTGTAGACTTACGCAGAGACCCCCTGTAGACTCATGCAGAGATCCCCTGTAGACTCACGCAGAGACCCCCTGTAGACTCACACAGAGACCCCCTGTAGACTCACACAGAGACCCCCTGTAGACTCACGCAGAGACCCCTGTAGACTCACACAGAGACCCCCTGTAGACTCACATAGACCCCTGTAGACTCACACAGAGACCCCCTGTAGACTCACACAGAGAACCCCTGTAGACTCACACAGAAACCCCCTGTAGACTCACACAGAGACCCCCTGTAGACTCACGCAGAGACCCCTGTAGACTCACACAGAAACCCCCTGTAGACTCACACAGAGACCCCCTGAAGACTCACACAAAGACCCCTGTAGACTCACACAGAGACCCCTGTAGACTCACAGAGACCCCCTGTAGACTCACGCAGAGACCCCTGTAGACTCACACAGAGACCCCCTGTAGACTCACGCAGAGACCCCTGTAGACTCGCTTGATGAAGCTGGTTGTAATCACCAGCGGAACCAAGTTAAATGCCCGCTCACGGCCAACACCAGTGACGACGATCCGAACCGGTCCTGAGCCTCCCTAGGTTGACTCAGCGTCAAAATGAGTACCCGGTGCAGTGGTGTGTAGTAAACATCACAACTGGGGAGACAAAGACGGTCGGGCGTGTTGCTAGCTGCCCATCCCCCCGTGTGCCGTGCTGGCCTTCGTAGATGCTGCTTGCTGACAGCACTTGACCGCAACAGTCTGTGAAGGCTACACGGGGCATCTTTTTAATTGTGGACCGAGTTGGCACAGTCGCGGGCACAGGTGGTGCATCTGGCAGTCATCTCAGTAAACTTATGGCACCTGCAGGGTCCGTCTCGTGACCTACACCTAGCCTGGCACAACAGTCAACCCATGGCATGGCACCTGGTTCTGTCCTGTGACAACAGTCTGTTAAGGCGGCACAGGGGAGATCATTGACTTTTTGGTAAATATGTGAGTGAGTAAATGTTTGCATGCGTAAATACGCGTGTGGGTGTGTTCACACGTGTGTGTGTGTGTTAATGCATTTCCGTGTGTTCACACGTGTGTGCGTGTGTTAACGCGTGTGCATATGGGGAGCGGTAGTGTAGCGGTTAGCGCGCTGCGCTATGAACCCGGCGACCCGGGTTCGATTCCCGCTCACGGTCAACACCAGTGACGATTATTTGAACCGGTCCTGTGCCTCCCCTATGTCGGCTCAGCCTCAACTGAGTACCTGGTGCGGTGTGTAAACATCACCACTGGGGAGACAAAGACGGTCGGGCGTGGTGCTGGCCACCCACCCCCTCGTGTACCGTTCTGGCCTTCATAGGTGCTCACTAACAGCACTTGCCCCTACAGTCTGTTAAGGCTATACGGGGGAGCTTTGTCCTTGCATATGTTCATGCGTGTCCGTGTGTTCACACGTGTGTTCACGTGTGTGCGTGTGTTCACGTGTGTGCGTGTGTTCACGTGTGTGCGTGTGTTCACGTGTGTGCGTGTGTTCACGCAGGAGGAGGCAAGGGGGCTGCTTCACGCTGGGCCACCGTGGGAGAGTCTCACGCGAGGGCAGCTTCCAGCAAGCGCAAGGTCTCTGTGCACAGCGCACGGCACTCCTCTCGTTACAGCTGCTGCTGCTGTTGTCTTTAGTTTGTTGTCCTTCCCCCGCACCTCCCATTAGCGAGGTTGGCTACGTACGGTGACAAAGACATTCAACGTACATACATACTACTAGACACTGCTATACCAGGGACGTGCGGTCAGGGGAGACGGGCGAGGCAGAGCCTCACCTGTCATATACTCCAATGAAAATAGCTGTTACGAAAAGTACAAAAAAATGTTCCACTGGTCTGTGTTATAAAAGTAATTTCTATATAATTATACCAGAGACGTGCGTCATTATTGTGGTGGTGGTGGTATTGGAACGCGCGCACACCAGCTCCGGTTAACTCCCATTACTTACCTGTGCGGGGCGGTTGTGATATCCCTAGCCGGGGCCCCTCCCGAGGGGAGGGGGCTGTGGGGTGTGTGTGATCCCACAGAACCCCGCCCCTCAGTGGGGAATCGTATAAAAGGCGAGACTCTGAGAGGAGAGAGTTAGTTCGAACAAGCCAAGGACGAAGAACCAGCTGAAGTCCAGCTAGCTAGACCCTGGGACTCCTCTGACCCGCTGTCCTTCTAAAGGCCGGGCAGAGCAAGCCAGTGGTGCGACCCCAGAGCCGCGAAGGCTGATGTCCTTGTAAGGGCCGGATTCGTGTGGCTGGTGGTCGGGACCTGTGCCTTGGCTGGGCCAGGTCAGGTAGTCTCCTTGAGAGGAGGGTCGTAGTATTGGTGGGGAGTCGGTGAGTTAGCTTGGGGAGTTAGCTCCCTTGAGAGAACGGGTGAAGAGGCCGTTACCTCTTCAAGTGTGAAGCTGTAACGGGCTCAGAGTTAATAAATATGGGTTGCCTCTACTTCAACTGTCTCTGTCGTCACGGTGTCCACTACATTATTATAATTAGTTTATTAATTAGTTGAGTTGTGAAGAGGCATGGCCTGCCATACCCACCGAGGTTCAGCATGACGGCATGGTTCTGCTTGATGTATGGAATCAGATTTACAGATTCAGAATATCAGAATTAAAATATGTATTGTACTGGAGGAATCCGATGAGGTGTCAGGGTCGAGATGGAACCCGCGACCTCCTGCGTACCAGGCGAGGGAGTTAACATCTCCTAGCCACCGCTGGTCACCGCACCAACTCCGCCCCCACACCCCCTCCGCCCCCTCACCCCACCGCCCCTTCCGCTCAGACTAAAGCGGAAGCCCTGGAGTACGTGTGGAGCATCTTGCAGGGCGTGGAGGAGGAGGAGCAGCAGGAGGAGGAGTTCAGGGGATTTCAGCTGAGGGAGGTGCACAAGGCCAGGATGGCGATGTTCAGGCTGGAGCGCAGAGCCACCGCCTGCAAGGAGGCCCTGAGGGTGGCGCTCCAGAGGATACGTGGAGGTGCGTAGCCTGCAGCGGTGATTTCTATTCCCACCGCAACTCCACACTCCTCTCTATTCTCACCGGAACTCCACACTCCCCTCTATTCTCACCAGAACTCCACGCTCCCCTCTATTCTCACCGGAACCCCACACTCCCCTCTATTCTCACCGGAATTCTACACTCCCCTCTATACCCACCAGAACTCCACACTCCCCTCTATTCTCACCAGAACTCCACACTCCCCTCTATTCCCACCGGAACTCCACACTCCCCTCTATTCCCACCGGAACTCCACACTCCCCTCTATTCTCACCGGAACTCCACGCTCCCCTCTATTCTCACCGGAACTCCGCAATCTTCTGTTAGTGCTGATGGAAGTCGCCACTGCTGTTGATGCTACTGCTACATGTGCTCCTGTCAGGGCTGCTGCTGGTACTGATGCAGCCTATGAACTAAACGATGTTTATTTTTCTTATTGGTTCTTTCGGTAAAGTCACGTAGAAGGGAAGTAATAAAATAATAAAAATAAAACATAACAAAACAATTCTCACGACGTTTCGGCCACAACGCAAGCAGCCGTCCTCAGGTGAAAACCAGGTCTGTCGAGGCGACAGCGTCTGAATGATACAGCACACGTGCTTGGAGCATATATATAAGCTGGGTTGGAAGGGGGGAAAAGAGCGCCTTGACAAAAGAATATGCATATCAAGAGGCATTTAGCATATTTATGGGAAATGCAGGTATGTGATTAGTACTACTCATGCCCGTGCATTATGCAGGATTAGCAGCATCAAAGGGAGGGGATATGGGAAATGCAGGTATGTGATTAGTACTACTTATGCCCGTGCATTATGCAGGACTAGCAGCATCAAAGGGAGGGGATATGGGAAATGCAGGTATGTGATTAATACTACTTATGCCCGTGCATTATGCAGGATTAGCAACCAGGGTGTGCCCCACTGAGCTGTGTAGCTGTTTTTCAGAAGCGACTGGCTATCACAAATAAGAGCTCAACGAAGTGACTTGTCATCATCGTCATTACGTGGACATTTATAGCAGCCAAATATTCTCAACGCATGACGTTAATTCTATATGTCGAGGGAAAAAAACGAAGGACCCGGAGAAAAATCCACGCAACCACGGGGAGGTATTCGCCATGAAAGTTTGCACAGACAAGGAATTTACTATGGCCGGAAGGTGCATACATTCAACATGTAGGAATCTTAAAACTGAAATGAGTGGTATACAGTCAAACTATACTAAAATTACAAAGTCTAACTAATACTAAGGGCTAAAGTATGTAAAATTGTGAATAAGTGTACAATATAAAATGTAAACTAGCCATAATATACAATCTAAAAATACAAAAATACAAATAGGGTAACATGTTGTAAACTATACAGTCGGGATGGAACCCACGACCTCCTGTAGACCATGCGAGGGAGTTAACATCTCGCCACGGAGGAGAGAGAGACACGCAGACTCCAAATATACAGCAGGCTTCGTCAGGGTCGGGATGGAACCCACGACCTCCCGTATACCACGAGAGGTAGTCAACATCTCGCCGTGTTTGCCTGCAGGCTCCTCCGTGCCGCCGGCCTCCGCCCAGGCTGTGGCGGTGTCGCGCAGCGCTCGCTCTCGCTACGGCCTGCGCCCGCGCGAGAGGAAAGTCTACACAGAGGTGGAGGAGCCCCAGGACGACGACTTCTTCTGTGAGACCCCCTGCTCCCTCTCACTCTCTCTCTCACTTTCTCACTCTCTCTCTCACACTGTCACTTTCTCACACTCTCTCTCTCACTGTCACTTTCTCACACTCTCTCTCACACCGTCACTTTCTCACTCTCTCTCTCTCTCACTGTCACTTTCTCACACTCTCTCTCTCACTGTCACTTTCTCACACTCTCTCTCTCACTGTCACTTTCTCACACTCTCTCTCACACCGTCACTTTCTCACTCTCTCTCTCTCACTGTCACTTTCTCACACTCTCTCTCACACTGTCACTTTCTCACACTCTCTCTCACACTGTCACTTTCTCACACTCTCTCTCACACTGTCACTTTCTCACACTCTCTTAGGGCCGTCCATTAATGGCGTCACGCGATTTTGGACCCCCCTCCCCCCCATCACACGACATCACAAAAAGTCAGACCCCCCCCTCAAATGTGACGTCACAAAGCTCATTTAATATGCTTAAAATCGCTTCAAACTATTGTCATTGTAGTGCATATTTAATGTGGCACTGCAGTCTGATGTTGTAGGAGAAAACATTTATTAAAAAGTATTTAATTAAGTAGAACGTGTTGTCTGTGGTTCCTCACACATCGTCACAAATGTCTGACCCCCCCACCCCCCTAGGTGCATGACGTCATTTATGGACGGCCCCTTACTCTAACTTTCTCACACTCTCTCCTATCTCTCTCTATTGCTCCCGCGCTCTCACTCGATATATTCCACCTGCTCCCTCTCACTCTCTCTCCCTTTCCCTCCCTCTCACACGCTCCCTTTCTCGCACTCTCACTTACCTCCCTGTCTTTTGCTCCCTCACTCAGGGATGCAGGGAGGGAGCAGGGAGGGTGACAGGGTTTACATCTCCGATGAGCGAGCTAAAGAAGTTCACAATGCAGAGAGGGAGGAAAGGAGGCATCTGTCTGGAGCGCTCCTCACCCTCTCACTCTCTCACAGTGCCACTGCTGCTGCTGCTGTTGCTACTGCGGTTCGCCCTCCTCCTGCTGCTGCTGCTGTGGCTCTCAGTCTGCGAGCTGTGCAGGGATTTCTACCTGGGGGAGTGCTCCGTGCACGGCCCGCCAGAGTTCATTGCAGACGCGGCCGTGGCCCCGGGAGTGGCCAACAGGGCCCGGCTCAGCCTGCCCCAGGGCCTCACCGTCGGCGCCTCCTCCATCGCCGGCGCCGGCCTCGGGGTGTGGAGCAACAGGAAGAAGCTGCCCAAGGGGGTGATTTTTGGGCCCTACCAGGGAGAGGTGTCTGAGGAGAACCCCGTGAGCGAGTACTGCTGGCTGGTGAGCTGCTGCTGCTACTGCTGCAGCCTCCTCCTATTCCTACATCATCATCGTGTGTGTGGAGAGGAGGCTCGTGAAGGAGATGCAGAGAAACCCATAGCCTCACACAGTCACCCACAGACTTACACAGAGATCTAGAGACTGGCACAGAGAGACCCAGAGACTCACAGAGACCCATAGACTCACACAGAGACCCATAGACTCGCACAGAAACCCATAGACTCACACAGAGACCCATAGACTCGCACAGAGACCCATAGACTCGCACAGAGACCTATAGACTCGCACAGAGACCCATAGATTCACACAGAGACCCATAGACTCGCACAGAGACCCATAGCCTCACACAGTCACCCACAGACTCACACAGAGACCCAGAGACTGGCACAGAGAGACCCAGAGACTTTGCACAGAGACCCAGAGACTCGCATAGAGAGACCCACAGACTTGCACAGAGACCTAGAGACTTGAACAGAGACCCAGAGACTCACAGTGGGACACACAGACTCACACAGAGACCCAGAGACTCACACAGAGAGACCCAGATACTCACACAGATGCTCAGAGAATCGCACAGAGAGATCCACAGTCTCACACAGAGACCCAGAGACTCGCACAGAGACCAAGAGAATCGCACAGAGACCCACAGTCTCACACAGAGACCCAGAGTCGCACAGATACCCTAGAGACTCGCACAGAGACCCAGAGACTCGTACAGAGACCTAGAGACTCACCCAAAGACCCCCAGAATCACAGAGAGACCCAAAAATTAACGTAATTATTTGAACTTGTAACACACAGCAAAGACGGTGGTCACCGCATGGCGCGGCGCTTACAGATGCACTTCTGCGGCCGTCTGGAAGGTTCTTCCTTCCAATGTTAGGAAGCCACTGGGAGCTATGCACTTTAAAATCTTGTAGATTGAAAATGCATTTCTTTAGAACTGCTTTTAGTGTTTAGTTTGTTGTCCTTCCCCCGCACCTCCGATCAGCACGGTTGGCTACGTGCGGTACGAAAGAAGTTCAACTTACAGTCCAACTGACATTAATTATCCGTGGATCCGCTCGTGTGCGTGTGTGTTTCAGATTTACAAAAACAAAAAGGATCGTGAATATGTTGATGCTCAGGATGAATCTAAATCAAACTGGATGAGGTGATTATTGTCTGAAGGACCACTACACAGAGACCAGAACCACTACACACAGAGACCAGAACCACCACACACAGAGACCAGAACCACCACACACAGAGACCAGAACCACTACACACAGAGACCAGAACCACTACACACAGAGACCAGAACCACTACACACAGAGACCAGAACCACTACACACAGAGACAAGAACCACTTCACACAGAGACCAGAACCACTACACACAGAGACCAGAACCACTACACACAGAAACCAGAACCACTACACACAGAGACCAGAACCACCACACACAGAGACAAGAACCAGCACACACAGACCAGAACCACTACACACAGAGACCAGAAACACCACACACAGAGACCAGAACCACTACACACAGAGACCAGAACCAGCACACACAGAGACCAGAACCACTACACACAGAGACAAGAACCAGCACACACAGAGACCAGAACCACTACACACAGAGACCAGAACCACCACACACAGAGACCAGAACCACCACACACAGAAACCAGAACCACCACACACAGAGACAAGAACCACCACACACAGAGACCAGAACCACTACACATAGAGACCAGAACCACCACACACAGAGACAAGAACCACTACACACAGAGACCAGACCCACTACACACAGAGACCAACCCTGGGCCTCCCCTTGGTCGACTCGGCATCAAATGAGCACCCGGTACGGAGCGTGGTTCCAGCCACACCACCCCCACGTAGCGCCCAGTGCCGGCCCTTAATAGGCGCTCGCTAACGGCGCCCACCCCGCCCCCGCGTCTGCCCGCGCAGGTTCGTCAACTGCGCGAGGAATGAGCAGGAGCAGAACCTGGTGGCCTTCCAGCACCGGGGGCAGATTTACTACCGCACATTCCGTGCCGTGGGGCCCGGCTCTGAGCTGCTGGTCTGGTACGGCGAGGAGTTCGCCCAGGAGCTGGGCATCGCCTGCGAGGCCGGGCCCTCGCGACGCCGCAGCAGCAGCAGCAGCGAGATGGCTCCTAGGGCCACCGCCAGAGACCTGCAGCCCGTGCAGCCTCCACCAAGCGAGGAACACCGTGAGCACTGCTCACCAGAGACTCACCACTGCTCACCAGACTATAGCCACCACTCACCAGAGATGATAGCCACCACTCACGAGAGACGATAGCCACCACTCACCAGAGATGATAGCCACCACTCACCAGAGATGATAGCCACCACGCACCAGAAATGATAGCCACCACTCACCAGAGATGGCAGCCACCACTTACGAGAGACGATAGCCACTACTCACCAGAGACGATAGCCACCACTCAGTAGAGATGATAGCTACCATTCACCAGAGATGATAGCGACATCTCACCAGAGATGTGGATGTAGCTACCACTCACCAGAGATGATAGCCACCACTCACTAGAGATGATAGCCACCACTCACCAGAGATGATAGCCACATCTCACCAGAGTTGGTAGCCACCACTCACCAGAGATGACAGCCACCACTCACCAGAGATGATAGGCACCAGCCACACTGATAAGGTGGAAGTGAGTAACTGGTGTGGTGTGTAGTAGTAAACATCGCCACTGGGGAGACAAAGGCGGCCGGGCCTGGTGTTGGCCACCTACTCCCTCGTGTGCCATGCCGGCCTTCATAGGTACTCGCAAACAGCACTTGCCCAACAGTCTGATATGGCTGTGGGAAACCTTTACCTTTGTGTATACACACACGTGTGCAAGAGTGTTCATGTCTAGATGTTGGTGTGTGCGCGTGTGTCTTGTTCCTCTGGGATGACGCAGGTGGAGTGGGTGTGGAGGTCACAAGGCTGCCGTGTCCTGCCTGCAACCGTCAGTTCATCTGCCGCTCGAGTCTACAGTATCACGTGCAGAGCAGACACCCCACTAAGCCCAGTAACAAAAGTCATCAGTGTGACCAATGTCCATACAGCACAGACTACAAGAGTACCTTGAAGAAGCACCAGAGAACACACACGGGAGAGAAGCCGTTCAAGTGCACCGTGTGTGAGAAGGCGTTTGCACGGCTATCACATCTTCACAGCCACCAGAGAACACACACGGGAGAGAAGCCGTTCAAGTGCACCGTGTGTGAGAAGGCATTTGCACATTTACAACATCTTCACAGCCACCAGAGAACACACACGGGAGAGAAGCCGTTCAAGTGCACCGTGTGTGAGAAGGCATTTGCACATTTACAACATCTTCACAGCCACCAGAGAACACACACGGGAGAGAAGCCGTTCAAGTGCACTGTGTGTGAGAAGGCGTTTGCACAGCTATCAGATCTTCACAGGCACCAGAGAACACACACGGGAGAAAAGCCGTTCAAGTGCACCGTGTGTGAGAAGGTGTTTGCAGACCCATCCAGTCTTTGCCGGCACCAGAGAACACACACCGGCCAGAATGCATTTTCTCATTCCCGTGGAAACAGAAAAGTCAGCCATCCTGAGCAAAACGCGCACAGCGCCGAGCTGTGAATTAGTTTTAAACAACAGGCCACGTGACTAGCCGAGGCTGTGCCACTCTTGAAACTGATTTTGAATGTGAACACGGAAACCTACGGACCCTCCTACACCTGCCTCACACTCTGTGGGGGGTGGGAGATTAAACCGACCTGGCCACCCCTCGATTGCAAGTGCGGAGTTCTAGGTCCCAACCACTGCACGTGTCCCCCCCCACCCCCATCACCTGGGGGTCCCTGTGTGTGTGAGTGTGCAGAGTCCCCCGTGCAGAGCTGCACTGTTGTTACCCTAGAGGGGGACACCGCAGGGCGATCCACCTACAGATACCCCAGTCTGCACGTCTCCCGCCGGTCTCCATGCGCACCGCGTGCCGTCTCGTAGCCCTGCCCCGTGCGACGTACGTACAGTACGTACAGTACGTACCCATCCAGCGGTAGACTGAACCGCGGCCGATGACGAAGGTGGCATCCGCTCACAAATCTCCGTGCACTCAGTCCCGTAGCCCTGAGCCATCGCTTGCGCGATATTCACTTTGCCGCTGAGAGGAAAGCTACGGGGAGGAGGTGGGGGGGGGTGTTAAGAGAGGACATCTGTGGAACGGCTGGAGATCTGCGAAGAAGAGCTTCATAGCTCATCGGATTCCTGCGGTCTGAAAAAATATTCCGAGAGGGCGTTGGGGGAGGGGGGTGTAGGTATGATTGGGGCATCTGCACTTGGATCACCCTGCGTGTTGTTGCTGCCTCCCCCGTTGAAAATGTTCCCAGCGTGAACTTAACCCTTTGCCGTCGCGACGACGCCGCGCGCCGTGCGTGAACGTCGTCGTCGGAATAACAAAACGCAGTAAAAACTAAAGCAACATTATCGGTACCGAGGCTCCCACAGGGCCACGCGGGGCAGGGAGTGTGGCACAGTTTTCGCGCCGGCTAGCGCAGAGTGGCGGCGGTCGTGTCGCTACGCTTCTCTGCGGTGAGCAACGACGTCTTCATAACAACAACAGCAGTGCTGCTGCTGCTGCTGCCACTGCTGCGGTGAACGGTGACAGCCACCCCGTGACCTGTGACCCCCACCCCGTGAACGGTGACACCCACCCCGTGAACGGTGACACCCACCCCGTGAACGGTGACACCCCATGGGTGGAAAAAACCCGATTTTTCCAGCTGCAGGCATCGGGTTTTTTCTTTAACACAATTAAACCCGATTTCGGGGAATTAAAACCTGGTTTAATGAATACGAAACTCTGATAGGCTTAGGCTGCTTCCTCGTCGGTGCTGCTATGGTACTCGGGGCCGTCGGGCACGGGGTAGTCGTAGAATGCGGCGGGCAGGTTGGTCTTAATGAACACGAGCTTCTCCACAATCGTGGGCGCCAGTGAGTTCCTTAGCTTGGAATGGATGAAGCCCATCGTTGAGAAGTGCGGTTCTGCAATTAGAACCAATGAAACCGGATTTCTCTCAATCTTAGATGATCGGGTTTAATATAAAAAGACAATTAAACCCGATTGTAAAAAACCCGACTGTGCCACCCTTGTGACACCCACCCTGTGAACGGTGACACCCACCCCGTGAACGGTGACACCCACCGACCCTGCAACTCTGCAGACGTCTCGGACGCGGGAAAGGGTTGAGAGATTTTCTGCGTCCCGGTTGCTCGCGTGATGTCGCACGGTGGTGGCGCGCGTTGACTCTTGCACGTTTAAGAAAGTTGAGCGTTAGTTTGTGATTCTGTTTAAAATGATATATATACATACTTAAACTAACAAACATTATCTTGGGATTCTACCAAGTAAGGTCCAACTGGATACGTAGTAGCTCTTTTATCAGACGCGACCACCTGGCCATCACAAATGAAAGCTCAACGAAGTGGCTTATCATTGTGTGGACATTTATAGCGGCCAAATACTCTGATTGCGTGATCTCGATTCTAAATGTCGAGGGAAAACCGGAGGACCTGGAGAAAATCCACACGACCACGGGGAGAGAGAGAGAGAGACGCGCAAACTCAAAATATACAGCAGGCGTCAGGGTCGGAATCAAACACACGATCTCCTGTATACCAGGAGAGGTAGTTAACATCTCCACATGTGTTCAGAGTATTTGGCTGCTGTAAATGTCACGTGATAAGCCACTTCGGTGCGCTGCTGTCATTTGTGATAGCCAGGTCGCTACTACACAGCTCAGTGGGGGCCTTACCTGGAAAAGTAAAATGATTAATAAAAATCTACTGTATTCTTGGTTCTTTTGGTAAAGTCACGTAGAAGGGAAATAATAAAATAATAAAAATGTAAGAATCAAATTAACACGACGTTTCGATTGCAACACAAGCAATCATCAGTTTATGAAAACCCACAACAACAAAAACAATATTGCTGTGGTTTTCACACCTGATGATGATTGCTTGCGTTGCAATCGAAACGTCGTGAGAATTGTATAGTTTTATTTTTATCATTTTATTATTTTCCTTCTACGTGACTTTACCGAAAGAACCAAGAATATGAATCCCTGTAGTCACGAAATCTTCAAATCGAAAAAAAAATCTCTTCTTGGTTCTTTCGGTAAAGGCACGTAGAAGGGAAGTAATAAAATAATAAGAATAAAACATAATAAAATAATATGATATAATAAAATAATATAATAATATAACATATTATTATATAAGTCACTTATAAGGCAAGTAATAAAATAATAAAAATAAAACAATAATTTAATATAATAAAATATTTTATTATATTTTGTTTCATTATCTTTTATTTTTATTATTTTATTACTTCCCTTCTACGTGACTCTACCGAAAGAACCAACAATATGAATCCCTGCAGTCACGAAAGCTTCAAATCGAAAAACAAAAATCTCCTGTTGAGAATGACCTCACCGGACCGGTGGAGGCAGCGCTGCCGTCTTGGTCCCAATTGGCAGCGGCGGCGTCTCGTTGGTTGTGAAGGCGGCCCAGCTCACACAGCCCGTGCCGGTGCAACAGGCCGTAGTCTACCCGGGGTTCAAGCGGCCTAGGCTACATTGTACCCGGGTGTATCATGGGCGAGGCCAAATTATACCCCTCTAGGCCAAATCATACCCCCATGATAGTAATAGTGTTGAGCGATATCTTCTTGTTTAGTGCTGCCTAACGGCGTGTGCGACTTCACGATGATATTGGTCCCGGTCTAGCACGGCGTGTAGAGTTTGTGCTGTTGTTAATTGTAGCCATGTTTTGATGTTACTGAGCCATGTCGTTTTTGGCCGTCCTGGTCGTTTTTTCCCTTCGATTTTTCCTTCCAGGATTTGCTTTAATAGCTGGTATTTGTGATATACACATGAATTACTAAATTTTTCCAACATTTTATTTAAAACTGTAAACACATAGACTTTGATTACTTCAACCAGAAAAACTGATAATAACCCTAAAAATGCTTCAATTGATCAAATTGAGATTCTTACTTCCATTTATACGCTTTTTAGATATCGATTGAAGTCCGTTGTCGGCTGTTCTCTGTATGGATAATTGCCTTTGAACTTTCACATGGGGCATGTTCTGCCCTGGAGGGGTGGTATGGTCTGGACCAGTCTAGTTTAAACCCCTGGGTATAGTTTAGCCTAGGACACTTTATCCCCCGGGTCTACTCTGGCCTGGGCCAAACTATATCCGGGTTTAATCGGGGCAGGGGTTATTTTTAAATCCTTTATATTAAGTTCACTTGCTTGCTTGCTTGCGCGCTCACGACCGTGCAAATCTTTCAGTCGTTTTTTAACCGACTTCCCGTGATCCAATCGAGCTGACATTTTGCACACAGACTCGTTGTGCGTGACAATTTATTTTCGTGAAAAAATTTTCCCAAAATGTTACACTTTTTAGGAAAAAAAAAATTGTATTTAATTACCAATTGCTTAATGGTGGCAGGCAACCATCTGAGCCATAGGTGGCAGCCATCTCAAGCCAGAGGACGAGAGGACTCTAGCCGCCACGCATATAAAGGATTTATAGTGAAAAACTTTGTTTTTACGGGTTAATTTTTAGCCTGTTTCACCGGTATCTCCAGGAGGTCGGAGCGACTTGCTCTGCGGTAACACTTTTCCGTGACAGAGGTTTGGTTTTTGTTGTTGTTGTTGTTGGGTTAGAGATCTCGTAAATATCAACATTGTGTCGTTAACCCACCACCACCCACCACCATCGCCTGACACGGCCAATCAGTCAGGGTTTGTCACGTAAACGAAACGTGCCAATTGGTTACCAACTTCAGCACACACAGCGCTTGTGTGTCGGGGAGAGTGAACCCACAACAGCATTTACAATTCGAGTGCCGGTGACGTTTCGCCGGTGATTACAAACAACGGCGACCGGTTTCATCGGGCGATGTGCCAGGATTGTGATCCAACGCCATCTAACCCAGCAGCAGCAACAGCAACGACGACAACAAAAACCTTCATCACAGACACCGCTGGTCGCAAGAGACTGCGCGTGGCGCTTTGTGTTGCCGTTGCCACGAATCGTCGAAGCGCGTTCACGATCTGTTGTTCTCCTGTAACGCGGTGGTCATTTCGATTTAAAGCTTCTTTCGTGACTGCAGGGATTCATCTTCTTGGTTCTTTCGGTAAAGTCACGTAGAATGGAAATAATAAAATAATAAAAATAAAACAATAAAGTAATTGTTTTATTTTTATTGTTTTATTATTTAATAATAAAATTATGAAAATAAACATTTACTTTATTATGTTATATTTTTATGGAAATAATAAAAATAATAAAAATAAAACAAGAAAGTAATTGTTTTATTTTTATTATTTTATTATTTAATAATAGAATAATAAAAATAAACATTTACTTTATTATGTTTTATTTTTATGGAAATAATAAAATTTAAACAATAAAGTCATTGTTTTATAATTATTATTTTTATTTAATAATAAAATAATAAAAATAAACATTTTATTTATGTTTTATTTTATTTATTTTATTATTTCCATTCTACGTGACTTTACCGAAAGAACCAAGAAGAGGTGGTCATTGTTGCGTTCCTGAAGAACACCGCGTTGTGGAGAAATAATATAAACTATGGGGGGTGAAGCGTGGTCCGCGACAACACGCAAGATGATGGGTGAGACAGAGGCCGGACTACGACTGAGGCGCGTGGGTAGCGTCTAGAAGCAGCATCCAGCAGCATCCCAATGCCTCCTCGCGTGATGCCGCTACGCCGAGGCAGCCGCACGGAGAACCGCTTGTTCCTACTCGCGTTGCGACCTCGTTCCGTTCGCTCGCTCGCGTTGCATCCAATCCGCATCCGCGTCACAAACAGCGTGTTCCCCTACACATCATTCATGGCGTTATATCATCCAATCGGCGTTGTTCAAACTAACACGCGGCGTTGTAGGAGAACCAGACTGTGCCGTTGTCTTCTGCTGTTTAACGCAGAGGCCGCATCGACCGTTCCAATAGTCGCTGTAGCCACTGCGAGCCCCAAGCTGTCGGCTCCCGGCTCTTAAACTGCCCCCCCCCCCCCCTGGCGTTATCTGTAGTCGTTACACACAGCAGCACCTGGTCACAACTGCTCGCTGCTAATCCTAACAACACCAATCCTAGTCGTCATCCCTGCACCTCAAGGATGGTAACACTATGACCCAACAAAATTACACATCACACTGTCCGACAGATTGCAAGTCACACGGCCCTACAGAATTCAATTCACACGCCCCTACAGACTTCAATTCACACGCCCCTACAGACTTCAATTCACACGCCCCTAAAGATGTGTTTTGGTCATGTGCCTACCTTTCCTATACTCTGCACTGCTACGGTGTTTATTGTGTTGTGTTTGTTGTTGTGGCGTTCTGACCACGTGCCCCTACTGGACAAAGAGCTTCACAGCTCATCGGATTCTTCCAGAATAAAAATTTAAACTCTTAAAACTGATGACGTCACTGCGTGGTGACGTCACGCGTCTCGCCCCCCCACTCCCCACTCCCCTCCTCCCCCCCACCTCCCACCCCCCCCCACCCCACTCCCCACCACCACCAACCGCCGCCATTGGCCACTGAGTGACGGTGACGTCACCACGGCGCCTGTGCCAGGCTGGGTGCACTTCGAGGCTGCCGCGTGAAGTGTCGACGGCTCGACACTGAGGTGGTGACGTCACGCGAGCGTTGTGTTTAACGATTTAACCACGTGACGATATTACGATATTAGCGTAAAAATATGAGCATTAGCTGAAGTGATGTGAATACGTTCGGATTACCTCAAGTAATGTTACATTTACCTGAGGGGATGTTACCTCCCGCGAGGTAAAGTTACGTCGCCTGAGGTAAAGTTACCTCACCTTCCATTGCATTCCGATTACCTTACCCTGAGGTAATAATCACGCGATAATTGTGTTTAATGATTTAACTACGTGAGAATATTACAATATGGGCATTAGCTGAAGTGATGTGAATACGTTCGGTTTACCTCAAATGTTACATTTACCTGAGTTAATGTTACCTCACATGAGGTAAAGTTACTTCACCTGAGGTAATGTTACTTTACCTCGGATAGAGGTAACTTTACCTCTACCTAAGGTAAAGTTACCTCACCTGAGGTAATGTTACCTCATCTGAGGTAAAGGTTACCTCTATCTTAGGTAACCTGAGGTTACCTCAGGTGGAGGTAAAGCTGGAGCTAGTACGTCATGGTAGAGGTGGGAGTTCACACACTTTACCACAAAGACAAAGATCCCCCGTGTAGCCTCTAACAGGCTGTTAGCGAGCAGCACCTACTAAGGCTACCGGCGCTGTGGCACACGAGGGGTGGGTGGCCAGCACCACGCCCGGCCGCCTTTGTCTCCCCAGTGGCGATGTTCACACACCGTTACACCGGGTGCTCATTTGAGGCTGAGTCGACCTAGGGGATGAGGTCCACGACCGGTTCAGATGATCGTCACCGCTGTTGGTGGTGGCCGTGAGCGGGAATGGAACTGGAGTCTCTGACCGGTCCTGGGCCTCTTCCCCTAGGTCGACTCAGCCTCAAATGAGTTCCTGGTGTAGCGGTGTGTAGTGAACATCGCCACTGGGGAGACAAAGGCGGCCGGGCGTGGTGCTGGCCACCCACCCCCTCGTGTGTCGTTCCGGCCTTCATAGGCGCCGCTCGCTCACAGCGCTTGACCCGACAGTCTGTTAAGGCCACACGGGGGATCTTAGTCTCGTATCCCTGTGACTCTGTCTCCATGTGACTCCATCTCCGTGACTGCGTCTGACCGTCGTCCGCGTCTCGTCCCTCCGTGTCTCTGCGCCTCAGCAGCAGCAGGAGATGGGCGACTTCCGAGACATCAGAGGCTTCTTCACCAAGGCCGATTGGAGCGAT